CCCGGTCCTGCTGTGAATTCCACTGGTTAGCGGGCTATTTGCGGCTGTGGATAAAGGAAAATACAAAAGCCAACGTAGGGCCATGAAGAAGGAAAATGGCTGACTATGAATTTTCCCGCTCGGAAGTTAATGTCCACTTTGAAAGTTATCAGCAGGTCTGAGGCCCTGATAACTAGTGTGCCACTAAGGCGGACTTAGTGTCCGAGGCGTTTCCACTGGGCCCTTCGGCTTTTCGCGTACGGAGCCCCTTTACGCGATTTTTTTAAAGAACTTTTACTTTCTATTAATGTATTTAACTAGTTTCTTATTGCCTGCATGATTTGTGAGATTTTTTGAACTTAATGTTAGTGTGCGGCCTAGTGGAAATACCCTGTAAGCGCCCCGGAACCATACGACAGGTTGCTATAAAGGCACCAAACCATTGTTATAGTAAGAGTGGGTGTAATTTAATGCGCAAATAATTACAGTTTGGTCGGCAAATTGCTGGAATGTGGGCAATTCGACCGGTCCTGCTGTGAATTCCACTGGTTAGCGGGCTATTTGCGGCTGTGGATAAAGGAAAATACAAAAGCCAACGTAGGGCCATGAAGAAGGAAAATGGCTGACTATGAATTTTCCCGCTCGGAAGTTAATGTCCACTTTGAAAGTTATCAGCAGGCCTGAGGCCCTGATAACTAGTGTGCCACTAAGGCGGACTTAGTGTCCGAGGCGTTTCCACTGGGCCCTTCGGCTTTTCGCGTACGGAGCCCCTTTACGCGATTTTCTTAAAGAACTTTTACTTTCTATTAATGTATTTAACTAGTTTCTTATTGCTTGCATGATTTGCTGAGCCAGGTGTGAGATTTTTTGAACTTAATGTTAGTGTGCGGCCTAGCGGCACTTGGGGGTCGCGGTTTGCAGCGGTGGCACTTCTGCGTACACCTTCCTCCCTAATAAGCCTAGCACGCTTGCGTTTGGTTCCGAATATATCGACCTTGGTCATTGCATGCTCAGCTTCCTCTCAATCGGGCATAATCATTATGTAATTATAGGAACGGGAAAATATTTCAGTGATTTATCCTATTGCTTGTGTACGTGCGTTTGGTGCTTGCGAGGCGCCATTGTACTACCTTATGGACCTTACAAAGTTATAAGGGCCGAACCAGAGAACACAAATTTCCATTCTTGGAAATCTTTGGTAGAATATTTGCCAGTGGGTAGCGGAAGTGTGTCCCACCTTAGTGGAATATACTCATATTTGGCCTCCCCACGGTGCGCAAAGGCGCGAGGTGGGCATCGCTTCATAGCTTTTCACTTGGCACCAAATACATTTTCCATTATTTTAATCAATACAATTTTTTTTATTTTCTGACGGACATCTTGATTTCGTGGACGAGCTCCATTAAGCCTCCCGTTCGCTCAACCGTTCCATCTAGCCTTCCATGAAGCCTGATTCCCAGCTCTAAAATTTCAGTCTTTGATATAGCTCATATACCTAACGTAGATATCATATAGCTGCGCGCAATGGAGCAGATGTATGACAATGCGCGCCATGGCGGCAATCTCGTATGGGTCGCGGCTGCAGGGCAGGAGGTCGAGGATGCAGTGGAGCATGCAGTAGAGGAGCCGCCTCAGTAAGCTTACTTCAGCCTACTGTGCCTTGGTTTCATGGTGGATGGCGTTACTTCTTTGAGCTGGAGGCTAATGTCACCCCTGTGCACCCTGAGATGTACAAATCTCCTGTAAAGGCAGAGCAAAAGGTGACTCTCCGAAGAGTTCTGGCTAGCGGGGCTGGGGAGGCGGCAGCAGCGGTGCAGGGTGGTGGAACAGGCAGCGGGGCTGGCGAGGCGGCAGCTGCGGTACAGACTAGGTGGAACAGGCAGCGGGGCTGGGGGGGAGGAGGCAGCAGCGGTGCAGAGTGGTGGAACGGGTGGCGGGGCTGGGGAGGCGGCAGCAGCGGTGCAGACAGGCGGAACGGGCAGCGGGGCGGGGGAGGCGGCAGCTGCGGTGCAGACAGGCGGAATGGGCAGCAGGGCGGGGGAGGCGGCAGCTGCGGTGCAGACAGGCGGAACGGGCAGCGGGGCGGGGGAGGCGGCAGCTGCGGTGCAGACAGGCGGAACAGGCAGCAGGGCTGGGGAGGCTGGGCGACATAAGAAGCAGCGTACCAATGGTGCTTCTAGATCCAATTGCGGCAAGGGTGCGCAGGTTCCAAATGCTTACATGCTGTTCTGCAAGGAGCAGCATGAGTTGGCAACTTCTCAGGGACCACCATTCATGTGAAGTATGGGGTGCCATCGGCAGGATCTCCGGCCTGCTGGGCAAGCTGTGGTCGGAGTTGCCCCTGGCGGAGAAAAGTGCATACAGTGAGAATCTGCCGCGCTTAAGGCGGCTAAGGACCGCTTCGATACCTGAGGCCAGACCCTTGCCCTTCTGTGGTGTAACCGTTGCTTGTAATCAACCAGAGTCACCTGTCAGTGAATTCCCAGGACAGCTTCGATACCTGAGGCCATACCCTTGCCTTTCTGTTGCACAATGTGTCAGCAATCATGCTTGGTGCGGTCGGGAGATTAGGTAACGTGGGGCTGACAGCTGGGTGGGGAGAAATCCGGGGTGACGTGCTGGGTGCGGGTTCCGTGGTGGATGTGCGGACCAGCGCCGGGTACACGGATCAAGTTCATCGAACAACCTGTCAGCCGACAGACTTGGTGTCGTATCCAAAAGCCTAAACACACCATTCTGCCCGGCTACTGCAACCCCAACGTCGACAAGCATGCAAAAGGTCCTGATTCCTCAGCACTAGCTTCCACCGTCGCACGCTAGACCGGTTCGCGAGTAGCCCACACCGTCGGCGCTGCAGCTGCCCACAACAGACTTCCATGCCCCGTCGGCGTCGGCGGTGAAGCCACCCGCATCAGACCGGCATGCCCCGTCGGCACCAGAGCCGCAGGCAGAACTTCATCGTTTTCATCATTACTTTCAGGTCTTAGGTGTTATCATTACCAAGATTTTATCGAACTTCATTGTTACTTGAGGTCTTAGGTGTTACGGACTGTGAGGGTGTTCCACTTCCAACTTCAATTTAAAGGAAACAGAAAATATTAATTTGCTCATTTTATTTTTCATTTGCGCGTACATGTGTGTGTGTCTCCATGTGTCTCAAAGCAACCCAAACATAGCGAATGCCGGTCGCGCGCGTCGGCCTGACAGCTCAAAACGCTGGCTATGGTCATATTTTATCACTAGGACATGATTGGGGGCGTCGAGCAGCACCTTTTCGGTCCAAATTCGGCGGGTCCGGTTCCGGTCCAGTGAGATGCGATTGTTACAGTGGACCCCGAACGGGTCGAGTGCAGCGCCCATAGGAGCGCCTCCCGCACAACACTGTGGGCCTTATTCAAAAAGAACTCGGCCAGGCCGTACTAACTTCACTGGACACACGGCCTCAGTTAGTACGCTTAAACAGAAAATTGAGGCTCCGACGTGCGCCCTCAAACTTCGTCATTGTATATCGGTAAACGGCAAACAACCATGTCTGCGTCATTGACATATAAGAAAGGGTGATTGTGAGGTACATGATCCCAATGTTTTGGCAAGTAGTCCCGTGCCGCAAAAGCAGTTAAACGGGCCCAAAAGTCAGAGATAACCTCGTAAGTAATGCGGTTAAGCGATGGCGTTGATATAGGCATGTTGGTCTGGAGACCTTCCCTAAACAACAAACGGCGACCGAGATTGAGTGAGCTGATGGCCGCAAGGCATACAACCTCCCATACACACGCACAAATCCAGGTTGGTGGAATGCCCAACCACAGGTTAGCCCGGTTGAAAAGGTCAGGGAACTCAAGTTCATTCTGCAGAGCTTCACGAAGAGCCAACGCGACAGTACAATCCCAGAAATGATGCCGACGATCCCCACAAAGCATGCGTACACCACAGGGGCACATAGCAGCCTGTATACCTCTTTGACGTTGCGCCCTATGCATAGGAAAGGCAGGGAAACCATCAAGAGCCAGCCTCCAAAGGGCTTCTTTATGCTCGTTATCCCACCGAAGTCTCCACATGCGCGACAAAGTACGACGGAAGTCCAACAAAGTATTGGCCAAGTTCTCCGGCGATAAGACGATATCAACAGCATCCAAAATAAAATCTTCATGTTTTATATCAAGCGTTCGTAAAGAAGGTGCCATTAATAAAGTCGTCGCAAACTTAACCGTTACTTGAGAGAAATGCAGTAACACTTGACCAAATCTCCATCCCAAGCTTTTGACAATTCTTTTCCAGGCCTCTTGCGGAGGCGGTATTTCATGGTTTCTGTCATTAATAGCCACTATCGCCGCTATGGTCCATTGCGGGGGTAGGCGGTCGATAAGTTGCGATATACGCGTTATGGCAGTCGCCCCCGACTGACACGATGCCGGCAGGGGATGCCTCGGCGTAAGCCCTAATATGCCCCGTACCACGATAGTACGAAACAGATTCGTACAATGAAAGTGTTGCGCCTCAGTAAGGCCTTGTGCACCAACCATGCGCACCAAATTCCACGTAGACGACATAGCTGTGTGGCACCGTACGGCCATACCTACTGTATCTAACCCACGCAAATTTCTAAGATCACCAAAATGTTCGTCCAACTGAGCGTCATTTAGCAAAGGGTTTCCCCAAAGAGGGATATGGTAACACCAAGGACCCGGAGCTAGATGCTGCGCATCCAGAAGGACAGGTTGTGGTAGGGAAGTCATAGCTGATAGAATTCGTGTTAATGCCGGGCAATCATTCGGCACAGGCCTACCCAGGATAGTAGTGACACGGCCATCTCGTACATCTCCCCTAACGGCCAACAGACATAATGGGTGGGCCGCCGGGTGGATATGACGCAATATTGCCAGTAATACCCGAGTCCACATGGGGTTAGTTTCCAACATACCAGCCATACCAAGGATTGCACGACAGGACAAACAGGCAAACCGTGCACGCAGATGTTCGTGCAGAGGAATAAGACCGAAACCTCCAATGGCAGGAGGAAACGGCATATATGCGACTCCCACACCCGGGGCCCGTCTTCGTTCAGCAATGTCCCGCACAGATGGCGGTTGACGCCTGTCAATAACGGCCGCACAGTCTCCCAGCAGGTTATTCATCGAGGTGTTGCTAGGTGCCCCCATAAACTCCAAGTGGTACAGGACTCTACTAATGCTATAACCTGATACCGCAAAAGCTCGACCAAAAGCTGATAAGTGCATCCCAGCGACTAACTGCAAGCTATTCCTCACAGGAGAAAGCGAAACCGATTGCTGTTCGAGCGAAGGCCTATCTGCGACGCGAATCCCTAGGGTTGTAGCTACTGAGAGCACCCTGAAATCGCCAACTACTGAACCTACAACAGGCTGCTGTTCAACCTCGTCTGCTACTTGTTCGTTACCCACAGAGTTCGCCATATGCGTTAGGTTAGTAACCGGCATGATTAAATGATTACCAATAGCATTCGCTGTTGGTAAGTCCGCCGGTCTTGTATTGCGGGTGAACGTGCCAAGCGGCAAGAGCTCAACCTTGCGATTGTTGAGTCGTTGTCCCGAGGCTGCGTGGAAAACATCCATGACAGCTTTGAAGCGGGGAATGTCCGCTAGGCGACGTAAAAAGGCACCACAATCATCCCCATACTGTGACGCAGCGAGGTGAATGTCACGCAAACTTAATCA